CGGTATACATGTCGTTAGGAAGTCATTGATTCCAACTTGCTGAAAATTGTTTTTGGAAAAGAAGTCAATTAGGAGCCGGATAATAGGACAATCACATGACTTTGGAGAGCATATAGTTTATTTGTGTCCCTCTTAGCATCATTAAGCGCTTAGAACAGCGATGTATAAGCGCCATATAAATTCCATTATTATTATTATTATTATTATTATTATTATTATTATTATTATTATTATTATTATTATTATTTGCGCCCAAGCGGAGCGAGGGTGCAGTGATGCTACGAGGGACACAAATAAACTATATGTCCAACAAAAGTTATGTGATTATCATTATTATCAATACACAAGACCAAATCGTACAAAGTTTATTTCGTAACGAAAGACTGTTAACATGAAATTGTGTTGCGGGCTTCAAATTCCATCTACATGGGCAAAGATTGGCCTGACCAATGATTGAAGTACCCCCGGCCAACAGAATTCCACAAGACCAGTATGATTAGAGTCTCCGTCGCAATTGGCGTATGAACAACAACAGCTTATAAAATGCTAATATAACTTGCAAAAGGTGTAGCAACAAGAAATTTGAAGAGGATCTATCATGGCTTCACAATTTGCATCAATTTGTTTCCAGACAGGAGGGATTTTGTTTCCTGGATTCTGGATGATTCTCTTGCCCTGTAGGCTATCCAAGTTTGGTTAAGAGTCAGACACCTTACCCTGCGAGAAAGCAGAGGTTTCTCTCTGGCATGGCTTTTAACCTTTACGAAGTCGTTCGCGTCTCTTGGCGTCACATAGTTAGTTTATTTGTTTTGGGATCTGTTAAAGGAATTTTACTATATAGGCTGCCAAGCAAACATATATGGTCTATTGAGGCTGGTCAGTAAAACGTACAAAGTGTAAAGTACCGGTCAAAGGGTTTAACCAATTCGGTAGCTCAGTCACCTTAATTTATAAAACCAACAAACTGAGTCAACAGGTCAATTAGCAGAGAGTTAATTATGTGCTAAAAAAGGTTACATAAGGTAAATATCTTTAAACTCAAGTAAAGTACATATTACGTTTTGCGGTCAAGGTAATCCAGCAGATCGGATTGCACACAGTTTACTACTGGATCGAAATGTTACAGCAAAAATACAACTGAAGTTTAAAAGATTGCAGGTCCCTTCAATTAAGACGCATTTCAGAATTGTGCGGTCTTTGTTGTTATGTCGGAAAACCGGATCCCTGATCCCCTTCCTGATCCCATGGCTTGTGATCCCAGATCTTGGCGCTGTGATCTCTGATCCCTTCCCATTTTTTGCTGTTGATCCCTGATCCCATATACCTTGTTATTACCCTGAGCGTCTATAAAATGAGGTTGAGTGAAGAAGAAACGCTATAAGAATTTTTGAGACTCAATGTGTTGGGAATGTGCAACAGGACGGAAGAGGAAAGAAGACGGCAAACCTTGTGTGACAAATGTTCTTTGAAAAAACTTTTGCTGAAAGAAATAAATGGTTTTATACTTAATGTATCTTTTTTTAAAAGACCAGAAAACATTAATGTTAAGTTCACGACAAACAAGCAATTAATAGCCCTGTCACGTTTGTCACACAAGCGTTTTACCGTCCTCTTCTCCCTATCGTCCTGTTACGTAAACTCACTAATCTCTGCAGAAGAAAACGGCTGGGCAACTATACGAGCGCGTAGGCTCACAGGATAATATCGCGACGGAGATTGTGAGACAAGAGATTCCAAACATGTAAACGAATCACCCCAAATTGCCCGACCACATTCAATCTCAAAAATGACCGCAGTGTACAACTCGCGTACCGAAGGCCTTTTAGAGTACTTGATTGCCTGATACATCAAAATATTGCAGGCGCGAAGTTTTTAGCCTGAATTCTTCATCCGATTACTTGAGTCGTTATTACTCCCTGAGAGGACAAAACGACTCGAAGCAATTGATGAAATTCAGGCTACGAAGCCCCAGGAATGAAAGGAAAGGGCGATGCAAAATGGCGGCGAATCCGGCAAAAAAATTTAACCAGTGTCAGGTCATCATATATTTTATGAATTTTGAAACGTACGCTAAACTATGATGGTTATGTGGCCATAACTGAGGGGCAAGCATTCGACTTGAGTTTAAAGGGGCTGTGTCACGGCAGTCCAGTTCATTTTGTTGAATTTTGCCAATTTAATACTCGCCCTCAATCGCTATGGAACTTAAAGTAAGCAAAGAAATTACAGGTAAATGACAAAATCAGAGATCTGAGACAAACAAATATGTCTCCTGAGCATTATTTCTGAAGTTGCAAGCAGCAGGGATCAACTTAGGCTCGATTACCAGCCGCTGTTCGGGAAAATGAGCCCGCAAAGACCGGACCCGGGAGACGGCGGAAATCGAGCTTAGGATCAACTTTGAAAAACTGTTAGGCTCAACAGTTTTCAAAAACCCTAATTTCAATCCGTTTCAATCTTCTTCACTTTTGCCCATCCGTGGCATCTGTTGCTTCCGTTATGTTATTTTAACCTTCCTTTAAGCGGTTATTTTTATGTTTCTCTTAATTCAACGGGCATTTTGTAATTTCCTAATTTGGCTGAATTTCGTGACACAGCTCCTTTGATATCCTTACTGGATTTTAAGCTGTAAATCCTCGATGATGACTAGTCGGGAGTGTTGTACGTACTGCCTGCCATGGTAATCGTCACTGGCACTTCCCGTAAGGTGGCGAGGAACCTGTCTACTCGCGAGGTAAGAGATGGCGAAGAGCGATAATCCTGAAGCGTCGGAAGTGGCTTTTTTTTTCATCCGGGGGAGGGGAGACTCAGCAAATGTTTATGCGGGGAGGCTCCGCCACGAGGTCCAACCCATTACCATTTTTTTTTCTTTTTTTAACGAAAAAGTAACCCTTTCACAGACCTTGTTTAGAACTTTGCATCCCTTTTAACTGCTGTAAATGCACTGTCTTTTAAATAGGAGTCAATCACAAAAATAGAACCTTTTCTCGACTCAATAAAGCGATAAAATTCATCTGTTAGCCCTTTTGGGCCCTTTCACAGATCCAAATGACAGATTTCCCTAGTCTTCTATATACTTCAACGAGTAAAATCCCTACCATTCCATATACCTAAAGCCTAAAAGAAGGTACCCCTTTCGGGCGGAGCCTCCCCGTATAGGCCATTATAGGGAGTACCCCCCGAGTTTTCTTCACCTTTTCCGGTAGAAGCCGTTTGTAGCCTCGAGGTCGATCGGCATTTCGAGCGCGAAGTGCTTCTTGTTCCCGTCGCATTTCAGGTTCTAGTTGATGGGACTGCTGAGGATGGCATGCAGCTTCCTCTTTAGTTTCTCGGTCTAATGTAACTTCTACAATGCAATAAATTTTCCCGACTCTCCTCCGCTAGGAGAATGGGCATTGACGGACATTTGGCTTGGCAGAAGGCGATAAAAAATACTACGATATACTGTAAGCTCTTGCCCTCATGCATTTTTTAATGCCCAATGTCCACCTGCTTACGAGGACGTATGACAGTACGCAGATAGAAACATCGTACACCGAGAAAGACTGATGTCTACTGAAGTTAACTATAAGAAACGAAAATCAAAGCTAACTGTCACCGCAATCGGGTAAATGATAAAATCCACCATGACAAAATATTTATACAGGTAGCCAGCAATGATAAGTCTAGGCATAATTTACCTACTAATTCAATGTTTTAGCAAATCTCAAAACAGACCGATACATATGCCGAAATGCGTGCAAAATTTTAAAGTTGAAAGTAAAAAGAATTATGTCAAATACAGGTCATGGCGATGAGGCTGTCAGAGGCGAAAGACCGAAAAAATTGTTTGCTGCGGATCCGTAGCCTGTTCCATACACGGTGACACAAATGAAGCCTGAAACGCTCTCCTAGAAGATGCTTTTGCAGCTTTTATCCGTTTGAGCTCAAAATTTGCTGGATAAAAGATCTTTGTATTCCAAACAATCGTATGTTTGTTCTTTTTTGATTTTAACGGTTTTTGGCGTGAAACTGACATCATAGTGTTGATGTAGGATGTGGACACCGGAATTAACGTGGTAGCTCAGATCAGAGCATCTAGCCGAGCAACAAAAGTCAGTATAGAATATTTGCTTTATCACTCGGACAATGTGCTTAAGTATGCGATATACCCGGAGAATACTCCATAAGCTTTCTGTGTGCACGCTATCAAACGCTGGAAATCGATGAACTTGACATACAATCCTCCCTGCCATTCAAATGACACTGCATGTAGTTCCCCAAGGTTTAGATATGGTCTTTGCAGCCCCGACCTTTCTGAAATCAGCATGTTCTTCGCAGCACTCTGTCGACAGTCAAAGACTCGGGGGATATTTACCATGACCTTTTACAACTAGTAATAGTTCACACTACAGCTGCCCCCGCTCTGTATATTGTCGGTCAGTAGCATCCTTGCTCGTGATGTAGCCCTTTGAAATATACAGATTCATAAGGCAGAATTTTCACACATATTCCATACAATAGGTGAGATAAATAAAGGAAACGCAAGGTTCCATGCACAGTTTCAGCTCGATTTACACAGCTTTGATCGAAATATTCTCACTTTCGAGAATAGTTATAGTTTCCGGGTTTTTTTTCTAAATGGAAAGCGCCCTGTATATTTCAACTGTAAGTACTTTCCTTAATATACGCGCGAGTTACTAGAGTCCCTCCTCGGGATTTCGCCTTAAGGGCGAAATCCCTGCGGGGGCGATTAGCACTTTTGACTTGGTAAAATAGCAATGTGATAGCAGTTGCTCCAATCACTTGGTATCCCATCGAGTCGGTATCAGCTATTCCACCGAGGTTTTCTTTTAGAGTCTATTACTTATAACATTCTAACAAGACCCTGATGCAATTTCTTTGCAGATGGTTGTCGTCGCCTCAAGTTCCTTCCACCGGACGATGGCCATTATTTGGCACATCACGTGTTTTTAAATCTTACTATTGGAATATACACGCCTTGTCATCACAGATCTGTTATGGAAAGTAGATGCGTGTCAATAAACATTGGTCCGCCTGTGAACGACAAAGTTGTGTGTGAGCTTAGTGATTCGGATCACATACAGCACCCACAACACCTTAAACCAAGACAGGGCTGGAGTTATAGAGGCGTCACAGAGGTACCAATGACAATTAGGTTTAAAACATACGTAGAAAAACCAACGGCAGCCGATTGTATATGTCTCGCTATTTCTCGATAAAGAAAATGAAGGTTGTAAACAGGCCAGTGATGTTCCCAATGATGAGTTGCTGCTGATGCTGCTGATGATGATGACGACGATATCGACTAGAAAAATGGATGATGACGATACTGATACTGATAACATTACATTGGGCCCACAATATAAACTACTGGTTCTAAATCTACCAGTAATTGTGACAGCCATTAAAGTTTTATTATTATTATTATTATTATTATTATTATTATTATTATTATTATTATTATTATTATTATTATTATTATTATTATTATTATTATTATTATAACAATTATGATATGAAAATATATGTCTTCGCTCCCTAAATCGACAATTCCAGAAAAATCCCAAATGTTTCAACCTCACTGGAAGAAAAATAAAATATTGAGAGGTTCGAGAGATCTAAATAATACCTTTTTCTATCTCCTATGATCACAGCACGGTACATAATTTTTAATGTGATTTTAAAAATATACATTCTCCATTAGAACCTCTGCGTCAGTAATCCTTGTCTTAACAACGGAACATGCTTCACAGGATATACGAGCAAGAAATACCTCTGTGTTTGCACTTTTGGCTTCAAAGGAGAAAACTGTGAGAAGGCCCGGCCAGGTAAAATAGTGTAGAAGATCGATATTACATGGTCGCGCGGATGGCCGCGCTGATCTCGAAAATTAAACGTAACAATAGAGCCTACACTAATAAGGCTGAGATCGCTGACCAATTTAATAAGCATTTTGTCAATGTGAGCTAATGTGGATCAAAACCTGGCCAAAAGAATTGAACATTGTGAAGGACGTCCGACCCAATTCATAAGATCGACTCCAGTAGCTAACTTTGTTATGTCCTGTGTCACTGAAACCCAAGTATGTTCACTATCTAAATGTTTAAATGATCATAAGTCATCCTTATATTTTCCTAATAAACTAATCAAAATAGCTGCCCAGCCACTGTCAATACCTTTAAAATATATCTATAACCAGTCTATTGAAACTGGAATTGTTTCTCATATTTTAAAAGTCTCACAAATTCCCCAGTGTATAAGGGTGGTGATGCTACAGACCCTAGCAACTCTCTCACCATTCAGTAAAGTGCTCAAGCGTGTAGTCTATAATCAATTATATTCGTTGATTTCATAGATAAACACCAAATCTTGTACAAATATCAGTTGGATTTGGGAAAGGATATTCCACTGAACAAGCTGTTCTTGAAATTACTGACAATCTGAAGCTAGCTACTGATAAAGGTCAAATAACATGTGGTTTAATTCTTGACCTATCAACGGCTTTTGACACAGTAAATCATAAAATACTGCTCTCTAAACTTTATCGAGTACATCACATAATTGGTTTGAAACTTATTTGGACAATCGCGGGGCGACCACACGGTCTGTGGCTTAAATTTTGACAATTCTGGCGGTTTTATCGCCGTACCTTTGCTAATAATTTGTTATTTTCCATTGAAGTTTTCGTCGGTGAAATGTTCATTGTAATTAAAAGTCACGTAAGTAACCTTTTAACACCAAGCACTTGTATTCTCTGGCTTTTCGTTCGTCAAGAAAATGTCCCGCAAAGTAGAGCGGTGTTAGAAAAGCCCTTCTAGAGGTGTTTCGGGATATACTAGCATCTTATACAAATTATAAGCACGAGAAAGTCACTGAAATAGTGATTAACCACAAGAATAATTAATAAAATGAATAACTTAGAACCTTCTGTCCGCAGCCTTATCATGCAGTGACTTAAAGAACGGCGACCCTACAGCATCAAGTGGAAATTACGACATTGATCCAGATGGCGAGGGAGGCCTGGTGCCATTCACAGCATATTGTGACATGACTGACAAGAATGGAGTTGGCGTGACAGTTATCAGTCACGACAGTGACAGCAGGACACATGTGAAAGGATGTGAAGGGGCAGGATGCTACTCACGCAACATTCATTACACTGGAGCGAGTCTGACTCAATTGGCCAGTCTTACCAGTGTCTCCTCATACTGCGAGCAGTTTATCAAGTATGAGTGTTATAAATCAAGGTTACTGAGAACTGAACAAGGATGGTGGGTGTCACGTGATTATTCTAAGATGACGTACTGGGGAGGAGCATCACCTGGCAGTGGTAAGTGCGCATGCGGGATGAACAACACGTGTGCAGACCCCCAATATGGCTGTAACTGTGATGCTAATGACAAAGTACGGCGTGAAGACAGCGGTCTTCTCACTGACAAGACAAAGCTTCCAGTAACACAGCTCTTTTTTGGTGATAATGGTGGTCGTAAGGAGCACGGCAACCACACCCTGGGAAAATTCAAGTGTTATGGTACAGCATAATCACTTGGGTAATCACACACACAAAGAAACTTGTTATTACCAGAATTAATTGTTATTTGGTGTCATGTGGAATGTTAAAAGAAACCTGTAAAATGTAGGCAAGTGCTGTTCAGGGTCATTTCAACAAAACCTTTACAAGAATAGTTTACAAGCTTTCGGACTCTTAATAGCTACTCTTGACAAACAAAGCACATGTTAGATGACCATCCGGAGCACTCTCTAGGAGGGGGTTTTCCTTGACAGTTCGGCATGCTTCCCGAAACCTTGATCCTATCTCAGACTAAAATCCCAAAGGGGGGGGGGGTGGGTACTCCTGGGAATTCTTGGTGGAAGTGTGCCGCCCAGTTCTCCAAATCCTGACCCTACTTCAGAACAAAAAATGTAATTTTCCACACCCGTTTTCAGACTAGATCTCTAAAATCCACACCCGTTTTCAGACCTGGCCTTTAGGCAGAAATTATGTTATCATTACTTAAATTAGAGTGCAAACAAAGTCTTCCAAGCCATTTCAAATTCGCATATTTCTCTTTCTTTCTTACTCATTTGGAATTGAACCGATAATTCGTTCATACACTCCCGTAGTTCCCTCAAAAACCATACCCGTTTTTAGACCAAAATGGCGCAAAAACCTTACCCGATCGGGCGATACATACCTGCATAGCCTATATAGAGGAGTGCCCCCCCCCGGGACCAAAATATGTGATTTTTTTCTACCCTATTTCCTAACTGATTCGCTGTTCTCAAGTGAAAACAAAACTTTACTCTGTTTGAGACCCTAACGTTTAAAACATAACTTCAGAGCAGAAGGATTCAAGACTATTCTCTTTGGCGCCACACACACTATACATAGCTAAGGGAGAATATTTTTGCGTGTGTGTAGCGACATGTATGATTCACATTACGGAACCGAATGATAGAGCCGACAGTTCCGGTTGTTTTATAAAAAACGGTGTCTTGCTTAGCTAACTTTCTTGGCCAAGCATGCAAATAAAAAAGGAAAGACTAGAAAAGTGCAGGGAAATCACAGCTTTGAAGCTGTAAAAAGAAATTAAACCAATTAAAGAGAAGTTGTGTCTGAACCTAGAAACACCGCGCACGTGCTTTATCGTACATAAAACTTGTATTTTTTTCTTTTTATTAACCAGCTTCGTTAAGAAAAGAAGGGTTGAAGTTAATATTTGATAACTGGTTTCTTTCATCAAGGAAAACCTTGTCACTTCACACAAGATTATTAACATACCAGTAACTAGGGTTATAGTTTTCTGTGCTTTAAAGTTACACATGATAAGAAAGAACACCAGCAACAGACTTCGCAAGTTTTCGCCTTTTTATGGCCAGGTTGACTGAGTTGTAGACTTATAAGTACATGTGTTATGTGCCCTTTCAGTTTGAGGAATGATATTTAGAATCGTTACAGCAGAGATGTTGCACAGAGAACAAAACAAAAAGAATAGAGAAAACTATATTTTCGTACGGCAATGAAATTTACATACTGCATGTCTCGCCTTAACTTGAAAGGTTGAGCATTAAGGTGGTTCCTTCGTAAAGTAAGAGACCTAAAACGTCTTTAAGAAATACCTTATGAAATACCTCAAAATTGTCCTTTTCCCCTTCCCTTTCCCACGGTGATCGCATTCCATCGTCTTAAAAAATCTCCGCTGATCATTGGAATTGTAGATCGAACAAAGATGAATGGTGACCAGCCACTTCCATTCAGCGAGTCAGAGCTGCCTCTGTTTCGTATATAAATTTCCGCGGTGATAGCTCAGGTATGGATCAATCTTCATCGGCAACATATAATGTCTTTTACACAGTGATGGTGTGAAAGGGGATCCAGGCAAACGTCGCTAAGGAAATACCAGGAAGAGGACGAAGAAGAAGCCGTAACGAAAAAGGCAATCGAGGAGTTGGAGATTTTCGTTTCATAAATATTTTACAACTTTTTTCTATTTATTTCTTTTTTTCAATCACTTTTCAATCATTTCTTTCTATACTTTTTGTTACCCACGACATTTATCTCTACCCACTACGCACGACCCGCGACATTTAGCTACACTGGATATTATGAATACGTTGTATATCCTGGTTGAGGAGACCGAGATTGTACGTCTCGTGGGAGGAACATACCGTAAAATTCCGAAAATAAGCCCCGGGGCTTATATTTTTCAAAGGCCCTTTTTGAGGGGCTTATTTTTGGAGGGGCTTCTATTCGGAAGGGCTTACCTACGGAGGGAAATTTGCGTCTCAAACTCGATAGGGCTAGCCTTATAGTTGGAAGTAAATTTACCATTTTTTCTTTGTCCTGCTTTGTATTTGAGGGCAATTTTCCAGGTACAAGCCCCTGGGGGGATAATATTTGGAGGGGCGATTTAACGAAGGGTTTTTTGCGTTACCGGTTTGGGGGCCTTATATTTGGAGGGGCTTATACATGGAGGGGCTTATTTTCGGAATTTTACGGTATACGTCGTATTCTCAGGGCAAGGCTGAATGGAAAAGCTCGTTTAGTGTGTAAGGGGTGACATGGTCATGAGCGTAAAAGGTACTGATGTTCGGTTATAGGTTTAGTATGAAGAACAATTTCAGTGATCGATACCATCACAGAGGGACACCTTGACGTAGAGAAAGGAGAAAGATTTGAATGAACAGTTTGATATAAATTTAATAGTGGGATGAAGGGTATTAAGGTAAGAAATGGAATAATACGTTTATACTGAAAATGATCGCATGAATTTGAGGAGGTCGCAAAGATACTGTGTGTATGGTGGATGTAGAGCGGTCATTAGAAGTGACAGCATGCGTTCTCTCATCCTACTGTGTTTATATCTATAGCTCTCGTTTCCTTCCGACGACTACTAACAATCCGGAAGTCCGCGATTCGAGGACTTTCTGTTTCGGAACCAGAGCTCTCGATCAGTGATACTAGACCGAGATCGACAACTGTTTTCAATTGTCTGTACTGTTATCGACAATAGCTCTCGATCAATCAGCGGGTGAAAAGTCGCTCAGCCATTGTAAAAAAAATAACTGCAACTAATTATTTTATCGGCAGTTGTAATAAAACAGTCATTTCTTCAGGTTCCGTACTAGGTTCCGCAGGTTCCGTGGTTCCACGGTTTGCAGTTCCACGGATTAGTCTTAGGTTGTAGAAAATAGGAATGTTAACAATGTTAAGTCTGAAAAACACTTTACAGACGCATTCTTCACTGATTGGAACCATTTTCTTTACCCCAGTACAGTAAAATGTATGAAAAAGAATTGAACCTCGATATTGCGAAACCTCGTTACCATGGTTACAGCGACCAAATTTTGCCAGTCCCTTGGTCTTCGTTATTTGGAGATTCCACTTTAAATGAAAATAACGGCAAAACCGTTTTTAAGTTTCTCAACACGGTGATGCCAAGGGAGCCAAAGGGAGCTTTTTATAAATTTTATAAATAATTGGATTATACTCTTCATTTCATTTTCCTTTTTCTGTATTTGCTGGCTGCGGCAGGGAAGAACAGTTCGATGATATCCACGCTTGAATAAATCCAAAATTACTTGCACGTAAAACTAGCGTTTAATTTTACCAAGCTGTGGAATTTTCCTGTTCCCAAACAAACTCTATCATTCATTTCAACGATGTTCGGATCTTAAGCGGTGAGGGTAAAAGACGGAATGAGTTTGCGGAATGGCATGTGGCATGGCTTGCGGAATGACATAATTATGCGGAATTTAATATACGCTGCTGAATGATCAAAAGAAATAAATTAAACTGAAAAGAGCATCCTTTTTTGGCGCCAATCAATTTGCAAACGCAGCCGCTGTTTTAATGTTGCGGGCTTAACCTTTGATGACAATAAAAAAAAAAAAACCACGAAGGCTCATTGTCGACCAGCCTTTTCCGCACAGCCAAAAAGATTCTTCGTCTATTGAAGAAAAGATGTTTTCGAAGGTCACGCTCCCTTCTACTTTAATTTTTTCTACAAAAGATGCTTGTACGATTAACTCAACAGTTTCTTGTTACCTATATTTGTATTCGAAACCGTGTGAGAAGTGTTTCTTTATGAGACTGTGGGTTACGTGATCGTGACATAATTGATAATATTATTCAGAGATGAATGAATCTTGAATTTTGTTTCCTCAACTGCGAGCTTGAGACGTGCGAAACAGAAAAATCGACCAAAATCTTAATTTCGTGACAAGAGTTGAAAAATCAATTTCTTTCATTTTTGTTCATAGATAGCTTTTAGGTAAAAGAGAAACCTAACGTAGATTGTTCCCGCCGAAAGCCTTTTATTCGGGAGAAAAAATAGAAGATCGGTTTTCGATGTCGCCGGAGTCTCAGACTGCATTAATTTTAACCTGAAATTCGCTAACATCAACTTTCCTCGCGTTCGCAAACGAAGCTGGATGGAGAAATTTGGACGCTTTCCACGAACAGAAAAATTCTTTTCCTTCCACTAGAAGATACTTTCTGGACAATAGGGAAGCTGGTCGTACTGAAATAATTTTAAAAATGAGGGATAGGTTTTCAGGATAACAGAAATTTCAGTTCGTTACTCATTTTCGCCGCCAATATTTAACATGTGGTATAACTCCAAATTCTCTTCTTGCGATTTAAATCACACATTTAGACATTCATTTAAAACATACCCGGGAATTGGCTTGGGTAAGTGAAGGAAATCTCTGTAAGACACCATCGAAGTTCAGGAATTTTCATGGTAGGCTGGAGGTATAAATTGTCTGTCTTGTGTAAACAAGCGCAAAAATCGAGAATTTCTCTGTAGAACTTCCAATTTCGAAACGCACATAAACAGATATTTACAGCCCAATGGCTCGTTTTTCGTACGTCTTGTTGGTTTTCCCTTTGCAAAATTGCTTTTTTCAATCAAAGAATGGGGTAAAAAGGTGAAACTGGGTCAATTTTAGCCATTTTGAAACACTGAACTTTACCTGCCGGCGACTCTGCGTGACAGTCTGTTCCGTGACTGCACGTGGCACAACGTACGTTTGAAGAG